CTTTGAGAGATTTAGATCTAAATCTTTGTGCCAATTTTTGTAATGTTTGAAAACCATTCATGCCTGAAGCAGTAACATCATCTAATCCAGCTAAGCTTTTTCGACTTGAAGGTTTTATTGCATGCAATACTTTCCACAAACTTGAATCAGATAATGGTATATAATTGTTTTCACTACAACTTTTTCGATAGAACATGATAGCGTGGCTATATTTTGTCGTCAGTATTGCATGCACTATCTTTTGTTCTTCACCGCTGTCGTATTTTTATTTGGTTATTCCATAAGCAACATCATGCAAAATACCGCTTGTAAATATAAAGTCTAAGAAATGTTCACACTTTGTTTGATCAAGACTAGATCGGACGAATACTTTCTTCTCTGGAAATGCCAACCCTTTATGAGATGCATGCCATTTTCTTGCTGTTTCTATACGATGTTTGGTACACTCAAATGTGTTCATTATAAACTTTTTGGTATACTTGGTATGGTCTAATAATGAGAGGATAACTAACTTTCCCATGGAATCACTTTGCTTATATACTTTCTGAGCACGAATAATTTCAATTGGGAGAGGGCTATTTATTTCATCAACATTTTTACTGTTAAGAAAATCTATTAGTATTTCCTCTTGTCCAGGAGCAACAGCTTTTGCAAATTTTTTTTTCAATAAGTTTTCTAGGCGAACATACTTGCGTTTTAACTTATCTTTAGTAGTATCTTCCAGATATTCAAACTTCCTTTTTAATCTAAATTTTATTGGACTTGCATTAAGAACCTCAGTTACACTCTCACGGCTTCTTAGAGATTCGTCCAAAATCTCCTGTGAAACATTAATTTCACCGGGATCAAATTCTTCATCTGGAGTAGCAGGTGTCATATATGTTTGTTCCTGTTGTGTTTGTGTTTCTGTACATAAATTGGTGTTTTCGTTGACTCTAGATAAAGCAGTTTCTTGCTTTAAATGGGTAAAACACAGCATTGCACTAACTGAAAACACTTCATTGTATCGCTTTGACATTGATATGACGACATGTATTGGTGACGCCCTTAAAGCGGGAGATTTTTTTCCTTTTATATTTAGATGGTGAGGATGAAAGCATGTTTTTGGAGGACTCCATGCAATACCAAACGTGTACCGGTGAAAAGCACATATTTGTTCATACTTTTCAAGATTTCTTTTAAGTCTATTTGCAATAAGTCCATTTTCTTCTCAAATATTATTATCGTTTAATCGCATGACCTAAAAACAATTTTTTAAACAATTATTAAGTGTGTCATTTAAAGCATTGTTTATAATCTGACTCTTCACGAAAAATGTTTACAAGTTTGAAATACATTGTTGTTATTATTAAAATACAATATTGCAAGAGTGTGATTAATTTAGTGATTATTTATTAAAAGAGTGAGGAATTAATTAAACGAGCTATTTTTTTTTGTTTAAAGAACTTTGTCTCAAAATCTTATTGCAGAGAAGTTATAAAGTATGTAATTATAAAAGTTATATTACAGTCTGCGTAAATTTAAAATACATAATTACCTTTAAGTTGATGAGGTGTTTCTTAACATCAACATCTCCCAGCTAATGAATGTAGAACATTTTGTTTATAATTTTATGTTTTTTGAATGATCCACAATTTCCTTTTGAAAAGCAACAACAGTTTTCATAAAAATATTTGTTTTGTTCCATACTCAACTAAAAACAAGTTCTATTTATGCAGAATAAATTATACCTATTTCTCAATAGCAATGATAAAATATCTACTCTATTTATGCAAATTTTAAAGATCGTTAAAATAAAGTTAAGACATTTTTATGGTAAAGTAAACAACCGCCCACTAACTTGTTTCTCCACAATCGTGATATCAGCGATTCTTCTTCCATTCGATCACCACAAGTTATTTGGTTATGACGTAAATTTAAATAATTCACTTCTGATCATGTATTGTTTTTTATTATTATTTATTTCAATTGTTATGATTTCTATATCATAGTCAGAAACGCTTAAATTTTTTCTTAACATTACGTGCAATGTTTTGTGTAATGCTAATTGCTAATTTTGGATGATAGAAATTTTATTGTGAGCGAAAACCTCATCTGTGTGTCCAAAAAAATATCTCTTCGTACTTAATCATTTTTAACAATTTGTACCTTTATTTTTAACTTAATATCTAAAGATCACATGATTTTTTTTTAAACTATGTTAGGGTCATCTTATATTGACCATTTAACATGATTATATTTTTACAAAACTTAGCGCCTCTGCCGTAATAGCTCATTTTGTAAGTATACTAAAACATTTTTTTCCAATTTCAAGCCTTAATATATTAACAGGCCTTAGGTATCACATAACTTTCTTTGCATTTTTAGACTCAATAACTTTGATAATTTCAAATCCTAAAAGAAAAATTGTGTGCAACACTTCGCCGCTAGAATTAACTCCGATTAAAAATTGACAAAACTGATTGATTTTGTACTTTTGAACTATGATAATTAGCCAACCGCACAGTGTCACGCAACTTTTTTATATTTTTTGGAGAGAGCTTTTGGGTTACGTCTGATATTAACTACAAAAGCTATGTGCAACTTTTTGCCTTGCCAAAAAAATGGGTTCAAAGGTGGCAAAAACTAAATTTCTAAAAATTTTAGAAAAATCTCAAAAATTTAAGCCCAGATTCCGAGTGAACGAAACATTTTTGAAAATTTTTTTTTTCCCCAACAGGTTTTCTCTATATTCTGATCAATATATAAAAAATTCAAGCAATTTGGAGGAGGTCACTTTTATTGACTGCCTGATTCTTACAAAAAATGACTCTTAATTGTTTGCATGACTTAAAGCCGTGACAGTAAACACGTTTTGAGCTAATGCCGTGACTGTAAACACGTTTTGAGCATTTTTTTCACGTCGTGTTAGTTAAGATGATTGACGTATTTTTGTTTTGGTTTGCACTGTTATACAATAGGAATTATCTTTATTTTTTTTTCTTTTCAAAAATGCTTTTAAATAAAATCGTTATATATATATATATATATATATATATATATATATATATATATATATATATATATATATATATATATATATATATATATATATATATATATATATATATATATATATATATATATATATATATATATATATATATATATATATATATATATATATATATATATATATATATATATATATATATATATATATATATATATATATATATATATATATATATATATATATATATATATATATATATCTTTTATTTTATTTAGGTGCCCCAAGAAGTCCTTACGGTCTTATACAGAGCACCGCGGATGAGCATTTAATATGAAGTTCACGCTTCCTTCCTAACCAATGTCTCAAAACATGTCCTGAGGCGGGGTTTGAACCAAGGATCCTTTGTGTCTGAGGCAATGCGCTACCACTACGCCACGGCTGCTTGTATGATGCAATATAGTATGATGCAATTATCATATAAAGAATTTAATTTAAAAAGTTGCCTTTCCCCATCCCAAATAAACGTTAACATAGCTTTAAGCGTTATTAGCAATGTTAACGATTATATGGTTTTATATAGCCTTAGTTTTTTTTCTTCTGTAATTGTGGCATTTAGAATAAGATGAAAAATGTTTTTTAATTTTCTGCTAGGTTACATTAACATGGGCTAAACTAGTTTAAGCACATCTCCTAATCATTGGAGTTCGGATAAGATTCACTTTCTCTTTATTGGCTTGAAATATATATTCAATAACTATATGGTTCAATCAGTAAAGGATACAGGAATTTTTGGTGTTGGTGGTGGTGGGAGGGGTATAGGATGTTAAAATCCATTAATTATTATTTTCCAGATATTTCCGAAATTCCGGATATTTTTCATTTAGAATCATTTAGAAAATTCTATTTGTTGTTTAAAAAAAACTAGAGCTTGCAATGAGATACAAAATTAAATTTACTAAAGTATCAATATAAGGTAGGTAAATTTAACAGTATCTACCAAATGCATATCGTGATTATCGTGACTTAAGGGAATCATATAACTTAATTTTATATCTATTAAAATACTAAATTTCATATACTTTTTAAGTCGCGCATACTTTCGAGTCAGTATGACAATAAAGGATAAGCTACTCAAAAAATCTGTCTGCATGACATATTGTATTACAAAAATAGAGTTTATTTAAAGACAAACATTCCGATTAAGAAATTACGTCAACATATATATATATATATATATATATATATATATATATATATATATATATATATATATATATATATATATATATATATATATACATTTTATTATATTTATATATATATAAAGCATTATATATATATATATATATATATATAAGCATATAAAGCATTATATATATATATATATATATATATATATATATATATATATATATATATATATATATATATATATATATATATATATATATATATATATATATATATATAATGCTTTATATATATATAAATATAATAAAATGTTATATAATATATTAACTTTTATTTATCTATGACAGTGCACTCATTTCCTCAACAGAACTTTTTTTTTTTGCGAGAAAATTGAGCGCATGTGTCGCTATTTCGCGTCTATGTAAATTATATAAATTATAAATAAAAATAAAGTATAAATAAAAAGTTTAAATTCTTAATATAACTAAAATAATAGTTGTTATATGGCAATAGGTTGTAATTTTACAAGAGAGCAAAAACAAAGTTTGCCAAAGAGATATTTCAGCCAAATTTCGCGCGTTATAATGTAATATTAAGCTCTCGTGTAAAAATATGTTTTAGTAACAACCTCTTACCATCTATTACATGGTAATAGATTAGTTACATGATGTAACTACCGATTAATCGAAATCCCACAATGTATTAAATTATATTGATTACACAAGTACTTACACAATAACATCACCTATACAATTTTTTTAATAAAAAATGTAAAATTTATTTTTTTGCACAAGTGAAATACTTTTGTATTTTATTTCTTTATTTGTTAGATTAGAGTTGATAAAAACACGTAATACTACAAGTATTACCAGTACAGTTTTTAAAGCATTTAGTAAAAGATATACCGATTTAAAGGTTACAGTAATATGAACATTTTGATTTGTATTATTAGAAAATAAAGGACTATCAGTATATAAATGCAAAAAAATGCTGAGACTGTGCAGTATTCAATCATACAGAAGCTTCTCCTGTTCAACTAATCTTCAGCAAGAATCATTCAAGTTTGTTGTGATAGGTGGTGGTACTGGTGGTCTAAGCGTAGCTTCATATCTATCACGTAAATTTCCTAAACAAGTAGCTATTGTAGAACCTTCAGAGGTATGATAAAATTAATTTCAATTTGTTATTTTTCTAAATTGTACTTCATCTTCAAAGAACTAAATAAATTAGTATTTTACCTCTCTACATGCTGATACCCAAACCACTTTAATCATTTCTGAAATATGCTGTTTGATGCATTTTTCTAATCTCTTTCTAAGATTATGGCTCTTTTTTCTTGTATTGTTAGAGTCATACCACACATCCTATCACTATCCTCTTGTTCAGCAAATACTAGACCATATGAATATTAAATTTTATACAAATATGTTAAGATATTGTATGCTAGCATTTAAATAAATAGCAACATATATATTTATATCCATATGTATCCATATTGTGCATGCATTAATGCGCCTCTTACCTAACCTCCAGTATCCAAGCAGGTATAGAAGCTTTTATTTTTTCTCTTTGGTTTTAAATCTAGCCTCACTCTACTCTCATCTATTACTCCTGACATATCTAAAGCTTTCAGTTAAGTTTCCTTCATATGGTGTATCTGGGAAAGTTTTTGAGATTATGAAATCATTTTTTTCCAAATGCTTTACAAAAGTAATCCTCGAAGGCCAACACTCTTCTTCATTTCCAGTAACTTTTGGGGTACCCTAAAGTTTTATCCTTGGTCCTGTTTTGTTTCTTATTTACAATAATGATTTTCCTGACAATCTAATCTATTCAGTGGCTCTATTCACTGATGTGTGAGTAGAGCCACTGAATAGATTAGTTTGTCATTGATGTGATAACTTGATACTCCTGTTTTGACAAAAAGTCTTCTCTTTTCGATTGCTTAGAATAGGCAGCTGATCATGAATCTGATCTCACTTCTGTAACAAATAAGGGCTTGCAGTGGCTTGTGAATTTTTACTTACTGCAAACAACTATTGCAATATTATCAATATTTCTATATTGATTAATGGCAACCCTCTCACTGAGACTTCTTCTTTAGGTCTTGTTGGATTATTGTTCATTTCTTGGATTATTGTTAGTTTTTTTGAATTATTGTTTATTTCTGGATTATTGTACTCTACTTCTTGGATTATAACATCTATCATGGAAAACATATATAGTATTGATTGTTAAGTTACTATCTCATAAGATTATATGGAATACTGTTGTCATATTTAGGCTGGTAATGATGCTTTTTCTTTTCTAGACAATATCCAAAAATGAAGTGTAAACATAGTTGGACCTGCTCTATCTGTTAAGCTTTTCCATAATCATAGGGTTGATTCTCTTTTTCTTTTCTACAAATACATCATGGTTGCTGTTCAAAGAAGCAAAATATCTAGTTCCATCTCTAAAATATCTATCCCATCAACTGAAACTCCTTCATTACTATTCATCATTCACTATTCATCATTCAGTAAAGTCTCATCCTTTTACTTTATCTGTCCCTGCATGATCTAAAAACTTTTATTCATCTAGTATTTTTCCCTACATTTTGATCCCTTTCTATCCAATCCCTTTAGAACTCTCCCCATCTTCATGTTTTCCTGACTCATAGAACCAACAACTTTTCAAATCTTCTGTCAACTGTTTTCCTGCTTTTTAATTTTGTTTTTTGTTTTCTAGTAACTCCCAACTAAATAGTGGTTGCTTGCAGCCTTGTTGTGAGTGAATCAAAATTAAAAAAATGATGTTTATGTAAAAAGGTACTGTCTGATGCTAAGCTCCTTTATTCTTAGTTTACTAAATCTTCCGATGCTAAAATCAATTCTCAATTTTAATCTTTTAAGGCTTGTGGTTCAACATTTCCAACAACATTTCCATTTATTTATCATAAATTGCAATTAAGTATCTTGGAGGTATGTAAAATTTTACGCTAAAGTGAACAGGGTTTTCAATTTCCGTGCGTGATTTAAAAGATCTAATTATTTAGAAAAAGAAATGTTAAAAAGTTTCAATTAAAGTGTTTTTTTTTACTTTGCGTATTGTTAGGTTACTGAATTGAATAGCAATTTTTTTTTTTTATTCTACAACATTTTAGCTTTGTTTTTTTGCATCACGCACAGACATATCATGCACGGACAAAGATTCATCCGTGCGTGATAACTATTTTTCTTTAGCTTTACAACGATCGAATAGCATATTTGCTAATTAATTAGTTGAAGTAAAACTTAGTTAGATAGAAAACAGTTGCTTAAAAGATTTTAGAATTAAAATGAACAAATTTAAGCATTCAATAATTCAGAAAAAATTTAGAAAGAAACATTCAGAATATCGGATTGCTGAAACTAATCGAATGAAAAATAAAAGAGCTAACATGAGCAAAAAAGGAAAAGAGGAAGTACGTCAAAAAGATAGCGAAAGAAAGAAGCAAAAGCGAGAGGTGAATCAATCTACATCTGATATTGAACAACCCTTTTTATCTCCGCAGGATTTTGGAAAGGCACTTAAAAAAATTAATTCAGCAGTACCTGCCAATTCAAACAAAAGAAAATACCTTTTAAAAGAAATTTGTAAACGTGAAAACATACAACTTTCTAATATTTCAGAGTCAGGTCCTGACTACGCCGGTTAGGACGATGTTAATTTCAAAGTTCTTGATTTTTATTTGCGAGAAGATATTAGTAGAATGGCTCAAGGATGTAAAGATGTTGCTATTAATAAGAAAACAAAAGAGAAGATATGACACATCGTTTATATGTAGAAATGGCATTTTATTTAAAAAGCTTTTCAGTTTTTGTAAATAATTTTTGTTTTCTTTTAGAAACAAATTCGTCACATGCTGATGACCATAGGAGAAGCATATTCACTTTTTAAAAGTGAGCATATTAATTTAAAAGTGGGCAAATCTAAGTTTTACGATCTGCGGCCATTCTATTTCAAGCTAATAAATGAACTTCCTCACGATATTTGCCTTTGCATATACCATGAAAATTTCAGGTTGTTAACGAATGCCCTTCAAAAAAAATTTAATATTATGTCAGACATAGTTGACAGATCTGTGTGTAATCAAAACAACCAATCTTGCATGTTTATGGAATGTAAAACAAACTGTGGGTTGCCAAAGTTTGATGAATATGTTTCTAATGTAATAGACTCATTTGGTGATGGTTCCAACAAACCGCTCTTTGTTTTTGACTAATGGTCCTCAGAAAACGCGCAGAAAATTGAACAACCACTAACATCTTTGTTAGAGGGGTGTGTATTACTGCGTCAGCAATTGCCAGATTATATACGTCATGTGTATATAAAGCGACAACAAAGTGCATATTTTCGTTTATGTCGCCAAAATGTATCAGAAAATGATTTGATTATACAAGTAAAATTGTAACTTTATTTGTAGTATGATAACAAAACTTAATAATTTTGTATTAATTTTTATAAACTTATTATTCATCCATTTATATTTTTAATTCTTCTAAAGTCAGATGGATTTCAGTAAAAATTACAGCATAATGGAGCAAAGTGAAATTCAATCTGCTTACTGGGTTCATCAGCAACTAACAGTATTCATGGCAGCAGTTGGGAGTAAAAACAATACACATTCCTATGCCATTGTATCCCATCGTTTACTTCATGATAAATATGCCATCTTGTTTATTATCAAAGAATTATTAAATTGTTATCATAATATTTGTAAATTACACTTTTTCACTGACGGGCCTTCATCACAATTCAAAAACTCTTATGTCATGACAGCCATGAATAGTTTGTACAAATTATCATCTGATCTTCTTGAGATTCGTTGGTCATTTTTTGCAACATCACACGGAAAGGGGGCAGCTGATGGGATAGGTGGAGAAATAAAAAGAATGGTTTGGACAACAGTAAAATCTGGAAAACGATATTGTCGCAGTTTAGAAGATTTTGTGAGCATTGCAAGTGAAAAAATACCAAAATTAATGTAAGTCATTATTTATAGAAAAAACCTCAAAATGAAAGTTAAAGATAAGAAACTTTTGGTTGTTAAATTTTTATTTTTTTAGATCATCTCTATAACAAATAAGTGTATTACCACAAAACAAAGTGAGATTGATGAGACGCTTCTCAAAGATAAGTTTAAAGTCAAAGGTATTCGTCCTTACCACTCTTTTCTTTTTAATATTGATGGTGCTTACATGGCAATTTGTAACCAATCAGAAATGGTAAAAATTGTTAAGAATTCATCATCTTCATTATTGATAAACGCGGTATCATCCCAGTCTGAAAGGTACAAATTTGATACTATTTCTCCAGGTATATTTGTCTTTGTAGAATTGCGTTCTGCTGGTAGAGCAAAGACATACCTTGCCGAAGTATTAGAAGTTTTAGATAATATGGCACATATTAAATTCCTAAAAGAACAAAACGAACTCATTTTTATATACCCATCTGTAGACGACCTCTCCTGGCATGACTTGTGTGAGTTAAAACCGTTAGTACCACAACCTTTGATAACCGTGGACATATTATTGTCGAGCCGAAGTGTTAGCACTAAACATATTGTTAAAAATTTGATATTGTATCTTTTTTATCTTTAATATATTATTAACTATATAATACATTATTTATTTTTAATATAATACACTTAAGTATTTATTTATAATCCAACGTGTGTTAAATTAATTAGTATTGATATATATGCTATTTGTGATCCAAATGTCCCAATTGATTTATTTCCAAAAATACAATCCAAAAATTACGAATGTTTGCATGTTCCGTTCGTTTTTTTTTGTCCGTGCGTGATTTTGGTTGAAACTACTATTACAGAGCAAAGATACATCGTAGAATGCTGTAACTTTGTAAAAATCTTTAAAAATGTTTGTATAATTACCTATAAAAAACAAAACACTCGTCACTAATACATTTTCAGAGATAATAGGATTCATTTATTAATTTTTTATTTTTTGCTTTTTCCTGTTCCGTGCGTGACTCCATTAAAAAATTTATTTATTTTATAATGAAGCAACCCATAGCTACTATACTTTGTATAGGTAATATATACATAGATGTCAATTAAATAAAAGTAAATCAGTGGTTACAAATTGCATTATTTTCAAAATAATTAATGTAACAGATGCAATGTTCAGTGCGTGATTTTTTGGAAATGCCCATATATCTTTTTCTTGGATGCGCAGATTTACCTAAATTTTATATATTATCCGTGGACCCAATAACTATAACTTTATGGAAAAAGGCAATCAGATTATAAAATTTAATAATAACTTCTTTAAATCGTTTTTTCTTGCTTCATCAATCTAAATTGTATTATTTTAAAACTCTCTTTTTTATGCAAAGTATTTATTCATAAATATCAATTTTTATCTTTTTAAATCTGCTACCATTTGTTTTGATTAATCAGAATGTCTAGTGAAAGAGCCATTCAGGGGTCAATGTTATAAAACTTTTTATCGGCGTAAAGTTCTACCAGCGGAATTTTTACTCAGGAATTTTTACAGCCGTAAATTTAGAGACGTAAAATGTTTTTTCATTCAATGTTATAAAACTTTTACCGGCGTAAAATTTTAAAGATATCTATGCTCTGAATCTATTTTCGGAAATCTACTGTCTGAATCAATAAATTAAAATTAACAGTTTCTTATGGATTCGGACTTAGACTGTTCTGATTCTGATGAAGAATATTTTGTTGCTCTTGAATATTTGGCAAATCAGAGACAACCACGAGAAGTAAAACTATTCAAACAGTATTTAAACTGTTAAGAATAAAAAAGTAAATAAATGGAATTGTCATTAATTTTTTACCCTACCCTATAACAAAATTTGTATAGCTTTTCTATAAAAATAATTTATGCTGTTTTCTATATAGAGGTTTCTTTAGACCAGAGTTGTTAGTTCTTGGCCTTGACCTTGCCTTAAGACCAAAAACCAAGGCCTTGGCCTTGAAACTTTTGGCCTCGGCCTTGAAGTTTTTGGCCTTGACCTTGATTGTTTTGGTCTTGGTCTTTATAATAAAATACATAAAATTAAAGAATTAAAAGTTTTTATTCTTTTTTTTACGTAATTAATTAGGTGATTAATCATTCTTTATTTTGTAAAATTCTGTTGATATAAATATAGAAAATCTACACACATTTTATATTATACAATCTATACACATAGAAACACATATTATACAATCTATACATATATATGTATAGATATAAGTAAAAACATCTAGTTTTATTTTTCAACAACGTGTTTCTCCATCAGTAGGCTCATGAGGAAGGTTTATCAGTAGGTTCAATAGTTGATCAGGCTTCCAGATAAACCTACTGATGGAAAAACAAGCTCTCAAAGATTATTGCTCTGTTTTTTAAGAACGTTGAGCACTCTCTCTCTCTCTCTCTCTCTATATATATATATATATATATATATATATATATATATATATATATATATATATATATATATATATATATTTCTTTCTCTTTCTTTCTCTCTCTCTTTATATATATATATATGTATATATATATATATATATATATATATATATATATATATATATATATATATATATATATATATATATATATATATATATATATATATATATTATATAATATATTTCTCTCTCTTTCTTTCTTTCTCTCACTCTCTCTTTATATATATATATATGTATATATATATATATATATATATATATATATATATATATATATATATATATTATATAATATATTTCTCTCTCTTTCTTTCTTTCTCTCTCTCTCTCTTTATATATATATATATGTATATATATATATATATATATATATATATATATATATATATATATATATATATATATATATATATATATATATATATATATATTATATAATATATTTCTCTCTCTTTCTTTCTTTCTCTCTCTCTTTATATATATATATGTATATATATATATATATATATATATATATATATATATATATATATATATATATATATATATATATATATATATTATATAATATATTTCTCTCTCTTTCTTTCTTTCTCTCTCTCTTTATATATATATATATATATATATATATATATATATATATATATATATATATATATATATATATATATATATGTATATATATATATATATATATATATATATATATATATATATATATATATATATATGTATATATATATATATATATATATATATATATATATATATATACATACACATACACATATACATATACATATACATATACATGTATATATAAATATATATATATATATATATATATATATATATATATATATATATATATATATATATATTGGTATTTATGGCTGCTTTAATAAAATTAAAGCAACCTTAAATACCAACACTCCCATTGGCACCTTGTAACCTTGTAACCTTGTAACAATTAAGCGATTACTATAGTTTTCAGATTTAAATCTTTTAACATACATTTAACATTTTTCCATTTATTACTTCAAAGTTAGTTTCATAATTAAAAATTCCTTGCTTCTTTTTTTCCAAAGACCACCCAATTCTCTACTTACAAAAACTACCCTCTGTCTCAGATCTCTCCTTTCAACATCTTAATCTTATTGTCTCAACACCGATCTTTTTTTAAAATATTTCTTACTGTTTTTTTTTTATTTGAAGAAAGATATTTTTTACAGTTTTTGTTAAATCTGTTGATAAGTTCACAATAACTTAACCTTGAATTGGCTCTTATGTGATATAAAAGTTTTTTGGCTCCATATTTTATCTTAGATCTTTTGGATCTTGCATTACGTTGAATGCCACCTATTATTTCAAGTGTTTTTTTAATGTATTTTTGTTGCAATTCTTAGAATCAGTTAGGTAAATCTACACATCTAACACTAGGTAAATCTACACATCTAACAGTTAGGTAAATCTACACATCTAATCTAATCTAAGACAGTAAAGAGAATTTTTTTTTTTAATTTTACTTAAAGTAGATGTATTATTCAGACTTTTTCTTTCAAAATAAATAAACAGGCAAAGAAAAAGTCAAAAAAAGCGTGTATATTAATTTTTTTTGCTCTAAAAGCAATATTTAAAGGAATTATTTATCTACCATTTACTAAAAAAACGTTGAAGTAAATAATAAATATAGAAGTAAAGATCAGTGTGGGATAAACAAACTTAGACCCATTTTTACAGGTCCAGATAACTAGTTTTAAATAATAGTAAAATCTAAATAAAATGCTTCATATAAATAAAAACATTTTTTTGTTTAAATGTTTTATTAACTTTTGAATAAATGCTTTAATTTCTTTAAATGAATTGATTTCCTTTATTAACTCTTTGTCAACTTTATTTGTTACTAAATTATTTCTTTGTTTGTTTGTTTCGAATAACTTGTTTGATTTCCATAAAACTAATAATTACAATAACCAGAGTGTATTTCAGAGCTTTTAAATATTGGACCCACTTATTTAGCACTTAATAATACTTTAGCGAGGATTGAAGAGAATTATGTAGAACACCTTTGTAAAACAATGATGGAAGTGTTGTCTGAACCACAAGCTGTAGAAGATTAAAATTAAGAATTGACTTTAGCATCAAAAGCCGAAGTGATTTGGGTGTCTAACAATAAGTTATCTTGTTTTACTGGAATGACAGGAAGAATATGGCCATTAGATTCAAGAGTCATATTAGAGGAAACGTTCTTTGCAAATAACTCTGCTATACTCCAGAGAAAAGTAATAAGATCAGACCCAGAAATTAGAGATAAAATGTTAGGCTTACTTTAAATAATGACACTGTGAAAGATTTTCCAAAAGTCTCTGGGAAATCTTTAACAGTGAGATGAGATACAAGATTTAGTAAACTGAGAATAACTGAATTTAGCATCAGACAGGACCTTTTTATATTAACTTCCTGCAGTAATAATATATTTGTTCTTAATATACATGTTCTTGTAAAAAAAAAAAAAAAAATGAAAAAAATGATAACGGTTGAATATAGCAACTCCACAAGAAGGTGAAAAATGTGGAGTAGAATGAGACTTGATTTAAAACCAAAGAGAAGGAATAAAAGTTTCCATACCTACCTTGATCCAGGAGGTTTGGTAAGAAGAGTTTTTATGCATACATTATATGCATATATATTGATATAAACATATATATTTGCTATTTATTTAGATGCTGGCATACAATATCTTAACACAGTTGTATAAAATTTAGTATTTATATGGTGTATTATTTGCCAAAAGAGAAAATGGTAATCAGATTAATGTGTAGTACAAGACAAAAAAAGGAGCCATATTCTTAGACAGAGATTAGGAAAAACGTTGTCCAAAACAATGTTGGTCAGAAGAGATTACTGAGTTTTAGGTATTATCATGTAGAGAGGTAGCAGCCTCATAAGATATTGGTAGAGGTAGAAGTAAGAAAACTTGGAAAGTGTGCATTACATATGGTATGAACAAATTAAGGAAAGAAAATGCTTGAGCTTTTTTATATTAATGAAACAGCATAAAAAGGAAAGACTAAAGCTTGATGATGATCATGATGATATTTTATATAAAAAATTCTCTTAAAAAAATATTTTTCTCTCCATTATTTATAGAAAGAGAGATTAAGGCAATGTAACAAGGAAACAAAACAAATGATTTAATGAATATTTCAGTGCTAAGAAAGTTATTACTTCTTTTTTAACTTTATTTACTTATATAAGCTGAAAAGCATAGGTTAGGGTTGTTAAAGTAATGGATGCGATGATGATTAAATAAAATAAAATTACTTCATTATTTTTAATAGTTTGTAGAATTCTTTTTTTTTTTAAGATTTTATTTTAATTTTATTAACAATAACTTAACAGTGATTATTGATTGTATTTAGGTTCATTACTACCAACCTATGTGGACATTAGTTGGTGCTGGCATTAAAGATGTTAAAGATACTTATAAACCAATGGCTAATTTTATCCCAAAAAATGCAAAATGGATTAAAGAAAAAGTTTTACAAATTTTGCCCGAAGAAAATCTTGTTGTAACAGGCTCTGATAAACAGGTATATTTTAATGTTATTGAAGTAACTTTTATTGTAAATATTTACTCATTGTATTTTTTTTTTTGTCCAAATATTTTTTCATTTTAATATAAAGTTTCAATATATGCTTATAATTATTACTTAATAATTATAACTTTTAGTTATAAGTATTCTTGTAATATAAATATATAATTATAATACATGTAATTTATTTCAAGTTAAAAATATTACAAAATCATTATATCAAGTGTGATAAAATACTTTATTGTAAATTTCATTTTCATTAATTTTACTCCTGAATACGATTAATCAAAATGATTCAAGTAACCCTTCTTAACTCTGTAAAGTGTAAAAGCTGTTATTTTTAAAGTTTAGAATGTTCATCTAAAATATTTTAAAAGCCATATTTTGCTCCATGCTTGTATTAACAAAAATTATATAAAAATGATCTTTTAGCTAAAAAAAACTAATTTTTTTCATTAAAACCATTCTAATGGTTAATACATAATTAGACCAGATTAATTTAAATCAAAAAATATTAGTTTAAACTTTTTAAATGTTCCAAAATATAGGCCAATTAAAGACTTGAAATATTTTAGAGTTTATCATTACAACTGCCATACAAAAATACTTAACTAAAGTCTATAATAAAATTAAATCTTCAAGATCATTGAATATACACTTCAAAGATTAATTCTTTGAGGACAGCAAATGTCCTTAAAAAAATTATGATTTATTGAAGGTTGAGACTATTAAAGTGGTAGACTTGAAATTTAACAACAACTAAAATTAATGTATTATTCTAAAAGGGCAAACCATTCTGTTTATTATTACCTGAGCTAATTTTTTAAACCAATATTTATATAAATATAAATTTGAATAAAGTCCAGTTTTTCACCACTAAGTTCTCAACCATAGACAGTGCCTAGAGTTAAAATCGCATCACCAGTCCTCAGAATTAGGGTCGGCATTGGGCAATGCCAGCCTAACTGCCAACCTCAAAGTGTTTGAGGTAAGCAATTTGTTGTCGACCTTGTTTCAATGTTTTATGGTAAGACCTTTGTTTCAATTTTTTTTTTGCCGACCTGATGCCGACCTCTAAAAGATTGAGGTCGGCAAATTATTGCTAACTTCATTTTTCCTAATTCCAAGGGTTGCATCACATACAGTATGAATTTCTGAAATTGCATAGGTCTAAGTTCCATTAATAAAAACAAATTTTAGATAACAAATATTTTTTAATTTTTGTTATTCAAAGTTTTTTCAGTAAAATTTTGTTGTTTATTTTTGAAACATTTTTTGAATGATTCTATTTTATTTCTGTTTTAATATTTTAGAATTATAATTAAAAAAATAATTTTATGATATTGTTTATTTAATTTAGCTGAAATATGAGATTTTAGTTGTTGCTGTTGGGTTGCAGCTTGATTTCCATAAGGTACCATTTTAGTGTGATACTTTTTGATATTTAAAATTTTTTTTGATTAGATTAATAAAAGTATTTTAAGAACCTCAAAATATTTTGCCCAAAAAAAAAAAAATTAACTTTGTAGAATTTTACTTTTTAAAACATGGATGGTTTGGTGATTTTCTATTTAATTTATTTTTAAATTTGACTTTTGATTCCAAGTTTAATTAAAATGCTCAAATGACCAACAAATAAAAGTGAAAAAAAGATTTTAAGTGTTAGTTTTTTTTTAAGTAAAAAGTATTGATATTTTTTCATTAAAAAAATATTTTAACTATTTTAACTTGCATAAATTTTTGTTTGTAAACATAAACATAAAAAATATACATTTAGCAAATACTAAACATTTTTAAGGTTTCTTAAAGATTTAAAAATTTTTTAAAAATAAATTTGTTTTGTTTAAATTGGAGTTTGATAACTAACAGTTTCTCCAAACATTTTTGTTTAATAAAACAAACCATTACTAATATAATTAGTAAAGGTTTGTTTTATTAGAGCATTATAGTATTTTTTTTCTAAACACACAGACACAAACCAAAAAATATATTCATAAAAGTTATGCAAAAGGTAATAGATGGTTATGATGTGAAAAGTTAAAACGAGTTGTTTTATATCATTTCCAATTATTTTTTGTTTTATGAATTTTTGAAAAGTAAAGTTTTAGGAAGTGTAATAAGTATTGTTTATCATGTTTTTAGATTCAAGGTCTTCCAGAATCACTTGGGACTGATGGTGTAGGATGTAATTACTCAATTAACACAGTTCAAGATACATACAAAGCACTGCAGAATTTTAAAGGTGGTAATGCTTTTTTTACTGTTCCTGCAACTCCTGTAAAGTGTCTTGGAGCACCTCAAAAAATCATGTATTTGGCTGATGAGCTGATGAGAAAGGTATGCGGTAAGAATGTCAAGAACCTTTTTAAAAACTTTATGTTCTAAATTCTTATTTTTATTATAGAATGGGGTAAGAGATAAAGCTTGTATTGTTTTTAAAACGCCTGGTCCAGTTCTTTTTGCAGTTGAAAAGTATCGCAATGCTCTGCTTAAAATCTGTGCTGAGCGGGATTTAAAAATTGAAACTTTTCGGAACTTGGTTCAAATTGATCCCCTTGTAAAAAAAGCAACATTTGAATTTGTTGATGATACTAACTCACCTAAAAAGAGAGAAGTTTTAGATGTAGGTTTATAAATGTTAAAGAAATTAAAAAGTTGATACGTTCTTTTTTTAAATAAAAGTTATTGTACTATAAAAACATATATTTTAATATTTTGTTCATATCTTGTTATACTATTTTTGATTTTTTTTGCTCTCCTATCATCTTAATGGTAATACTTTTTATTCTTATTTTTGTTATAAATTTTATTTGATGTTATTTTTCATTATTATTACTATTTTTTTTTTATTGTTTTATTATTTTTAGCATATCTATAATTTTGCTATTATTCTTTTTTGTTGATAATTTTTAAATAATTTTTTCTTTCAGTATAGTTTTATCCATGTCACACCTCCAATGGGTCCTGTAGATTTCATTAAATCCAGTTCCATAGTTGATTCAACTGGATTTGTAAATGTTAACAAAAATACTTTACAGCATGTAAAGTACAATAACATTTTTGCATTAGGTGATTGTTCAAACCTCCCTACCAGTAAAACGGCTGCTGCTGTGGCTGCGCAAAGTGAAGTTGTACGTAAGAATATAAGAAGTTTGGTCAAGGGAGAACCGCTTAAATCTGTGGTTAGTTTTAAATTTATATGGAAATTATCTAATGAGTAGATTTTTAAAGATGTTTTAGTTTTATCAAATACATAGTTCATTCTATACAGGGCACGACATATCGTTTTTTTTTATAAAGAAATTTGATGTTCTTATCTTTATTTATTGGCAAACGTCCAATTTCAAAGATATATGTCATTTAAGGGTGTTTTATTTTCAAATAATATTTATTCTAGTTAATAAGTTATTAGATATATCAAAGATGTTTATTGAATTTAATCAATTTTTATTTTTTCAAAACAATTTTTTTATGTAATGACATAATGATTGTAAATTGTTATCCATCGATACTAAATAGTGAATTTTTCTTTATCTAGTTTTTTAAATTTATTTACTAATAAAAAAACGTATAAACTTGGAGAAATAAAATAAAAGGAATTAAAAATAAAAATGGTTGTGACATTTCTTTTTTAAAATTTTTAAAAATAATATCATATTTATCAATATCGTAATTAATAATAAGTTAATAAAAATATCATATTATTAGGGTTGTTAAACTCACAATCAAAAATAAAATCTTTAATAAACATAATAATTTTTTTTCAGAAAAACTTAAAAGCTTTTATCAAAATCTTTAAAATGTGTTTTTAATATTAATATTATAATCAGTAGTGGTGTAGTGGTAGAGCGCTCCCTTCCTAAGCGATCGGTTCCGAGTTCGATTCCTACCACGTCCCTGGTAGTACTGTGCTCAACTTGTTACTCCGTGTAGCGGCCTTTTTCAAGGTTCGTGTTTCGGAGTTATAGAGTTGAGAGAGGGTTATAACCACAAGTAGTCTCCTCATCTTTAGTGGCCTTCTTGGCCTTGGGGAGGTGAATTACAAAAAAGAAATAATAATAATAATAGTAATAATATGCTTCACTTTAAAGAAAATAAAAAAATATAAAAAAAAGTGCTATAAAAGAAAACATTCATGTTTAAGCATGGTTTCTTTTATAGTAATTACAAATGCATTGATTTTAAGTAAAATTTTGGATGCTTTTGTTAATGCATGCAAAAATCATGCTAAAACATAATTACTTTCTTCGATAGCGTACTTAAAAGTAAAACTATTGAAGCAAGTATTCATGTTTTAGCATGGTTTTTTTTAAAGTCTTTAAAATGTGTTTTAAATTTTAGTTACTAATTGTTTTTTTTATAAATATTTAAAATACATAATATTTATAATATAATATTTTTTTTATAATAAATAAAAAACTATCAATCGCATAATTATTTGGAAATTGCTAAAGTAATGCATTCGTTTTGAAAAATTTCAAACGCCAATGTTTGGATAAGATTTCAAAACTGAGATTTAACCTCGGTTAATGTCATCTTCACAACAAGATGTTACATGCTTTCAGTACCTGTATCACTGCTTCCATAAACTGAAAGACTTAATGATTAGATTCTTACGGTGTATCAGGAAACATCTTTAAGACTATTGAATACTTTCTTACCAATACTATAAAAATTGTCCTCAATTAACAACACTCTTCTTCATTTCCTGTAACTTCAGGGGTTCCTGAAGGTTCTATCCTTGGTCTTTTTATTTATGAATAGTAATGTATTTGATTAGTCATCTACCCTTAATCTTCTATGATTAACTCTTATTTCTGATCTTTCTTGGAAACTGTGTCCATCCACTTTATGGAAGACTTTGCGTAAAGATATTGATTAGTGTGCTTACAAAATTTAACTCGTTCAAGAATTGAAACCACATGATCACCTAGCAAGGCTTGAATGGGCCCAAAACAAGATTGCTGTTGATTACGATTTTCATTAGAGATTTTTGTTTAGCAATGAAGCTCACTTTTGATAGAATGGATATGTCAATGAATGAAACTGACATATTTGGAGTGATGGTAATCCTCAAGTGTATTTTAAGTCACTGTTACATCCAGAAAAGCTGACTGTTTATTGTGCTCTACAGGCTAGTGGAATAATTGGTCCATACTTCTTTAAAAACTATGCTGGCCAGAATGTACAGTCAATGGAGACCGGTATAGAGCCATGAATACTGACTTTTTCATTCATTAATTGGACAACTATGATGTGTTTGAGCTGTGGTTTTAGCAAGACAGCATAACATGTCACACAGCTCATGTCACAATTGATTTATTAAAAGAAACGTTTGGTAACTGCCTAGTTTCACATTTCAGACCCATGAACTGGCTTCCAAGATTGTGTGATCAAATGCCGCTAGACTATTTTTTGTGGGGATGTGTGAAGTTGCTAGTCTATAAACCCGAAACCGGAAGTCTATAGTCACGGATAACCTCGAAACAATTGACCACTCGGAGAAAAACATTTGCCTCATTATTGACAATATATGGCCACAAATGTTGAGAAAAAGTCATTGATAATTACATCTCCAGATTAGACATTTAAACTATAATGCCAGAAGTTTATCTTTTGAATAAAGTGAATTTCATGTCATTTTAAAAGAATCATCTTTGTTTTATTCCATTTTAAAGTTCTATACTATTAAAAAAACACCCTTTATTGACACAATTTTATGTGCATAAGTTTACTTTTTGTGCTTAAATAAAAATACCTCGGTTTCGATTATTAATAATGGATGGTGTCCTTTGGGTGTAACTTTTTTAACAATGTTTTTTTTGCATTTTTTTTTTTGTTACTTTATTTAGATTAAAACGTAGTAAACGTTCGTAGTTTTTAAATTTGATAAATTTGGAGGAAGAAATCGCATAATAAATCATCTTGCCCTAGTCATGTGACTAGATGACAATTTTATAAACTTTTATTTTAATTTCAAATTTTTCTACTTGCAAACTGAAAATTCATGCAGATAATAAATTATTTTAATATCATAAACATACTGACAAAAATTATTGCTTTATGACTGATAGTTTTTCAATAACTCACAGCTTTCAAAACATTCCCCGTCTTCCCTTTCTTGCACCAGAGCAATGTTCACATTGTTCTAAATCTGAAATAAATGAAAAAAATTAACAAAAAATTTATTTACTAATTAAATCATGTTACTTATGCATATATATATATATATATATATATATATATATATATATATATATATATATATATATATATATATATATATATATATATATATATATATATATATATATATATATCACCCTCGGAATTAGGGTCAACATTCGGCAATGCTGACCTGAAAGTCCTTGAGGTCGGCAAAAAATTGCTGACCTCATTTCTATGTTTTATGGTCAGACCTTTGTATCAAATAATTTTTGTCAACCTGATGCCGATCTCAAAAAGTTTGAGGTCAGCAAATTGTTGCCAACCTCTTTTTTCCTAAATCCGAGGGTTGATATATATATATATATATATATATATATATATATATATATATATATATATATATATATATATATATATATATATATATATATATATATATATATATATATATATATATATATATATATATATATATATATATATATGTATATATATATATGTATATATATGTATATATATATATATATATATATATATATATATATATATGTATATATATATATATATATATATATATATATATATATATATATATATATATATATATATATATATATATATAAACTGCCATTCATAAAAGTTAAGGCAACAGATTTTTTTTTAAGTACAATGTTTAAATGTAACTATATCATAGCATACGTAATATGGTTAATTTATAGTAACAAAGTTTATGTTTTTATAAAATATATCAAGTTAAACAGAATTTGCATCAAAAAATCCTAAATAAAGTAATTTTAAGTTGATTAATGCATTTATTTTAGAATCTTTCCTGTCTAAATTAATAAACAGATATTCCTGTACAAACCAGAATTTATTTATTTTACCGCTTGATAGGTGTCTCTTTAGTATACTGTTATATCCAGTTATTTTATATTTTTTTGTGAGTTTGTGAACATTTTTAAGTGCAAGATTTAAAAGTAATAAATTAAATATTTTCAGCTTAATTTCAAAGTTCAAAGGTTATTTTTTAAATATATTCTGTATAAATTCAAAGTTATGTAGCAAAAAAGGCCTTAAGTATAAATTAAGCCAAGAAGTATAGAAAAACGAGCAGCAATAGATTGCTTCAAGAAGGATATTAGAAAAATTGTAGAAAAATTAAGTCTGACAAAATCAACACTTAGTTACACATTTCTTGTTAGTTACACAAAGAAACTGGAGGATTGAAAGACAGAAATTGACCAGGCCCTTCTTGCATAACAACAAATACTTATGACCAGCAAAAAAAAATCATCAGTAAATGCCATTGATTATTAAATGCTCCAGGTATATCAGCTATTTTCGACCATGGTCTAGAAAAAAAGTGTCTGTTTATATAATCAAACAATGATTACAAGAAGTAAATTGGGATGGTTGTGTTGCTGTCCGAAAACCATATTTGCAGAAAGGTAATTGACAAAAGAGATTGTAATAGGCAAAATTCCACTAAAATTGAACAATGAATGATTGAAAACAAGTAATCTGGACAAATGAATCAAAGTATGATGTTTTTGAGAATAAGAGAAGAATTTATGTTAGACGATCTACTGAAGAAAAAATGTTAAGTCAATGCTTTGTTCCAAAAATAAAGCATAGTGGGGGCTCTGTAAAAGTTTGGGATTGTTTTTCTCTGGATGGAGTGGGAGATTAGCATAAAATTAGTTGCATTTTGAGAAAAGAACATTACAGAGATATTTTGCAAACAAATATGATATTAATAGAAGTCTGGAAGAATCCAGATAATAAACATTAATAGAAGTCTGGAAGAATCCAGACTTCTATTAATGAGCAACAATTTTATTCTGATGCCCTATAACAAACTTCATTAGTAAAATTAAAAAATTAAAATTATTTAGAGGAAAAAATAAATGAAAATTTGTTATGTGTTGGCCTGGCCACCTTAAAGTCCAGTCCTCAACCCTATTGAGTTATGAGAAGAACTAGATAGAAAAGTAAGAATTGAATGTCAAACATCAAAAACCCAATTATGGAACATTCTAGAAAAAGAATGATATGATATTCACATAACAACAATTCAAAAATTAATTGAAGGAATTTGAGTAGTAATGGTAATGATAAAAGCAGAAGATGGTTTTTTTAACGAAAAGAAAATTTAATTTATTAATTTTTTTTTTATTTAATGCTATGACATGTATTTATTATGCGGATCTATGGTAAAAAAAAATGCAAAAAAATGAATTTTTTTTTAATTGTTTTTGTTAGATAAATTACCTGCCATTCAGAGGAAAGTGGTTTTTATAGATTGTTTACATTAAAACACTGTTTAAAGTAATGAACTTGTCATCTTATCTTAATTGCTGTTCATAGCAATGCGCATAGCAACCAAAACAGTTTGTCAATTTTTATCTTTTATCTTCTACAAAATCAAAATAATTAAAGTCTGTGCTACTTAAAATATATCTACTATGCTTTTAACTATTCTGTTGTTTGTATTTCAATTGTTTTATTTGTAAATTACTTAAACTATTTAATCTTGTGTGAGTGAGTTGTTAGAGTTATTGAGTTAGGTTTTTCAAAACTATTAAATTAACATATTTAAAAACCTGACTTAAGATATTTTGTTAGTTGAACAGTTTTAAATGGCTAACAAGAAATAAAATAAGAAGAAAAGTTAAACGTTTATATTGTGGCAATCGACACACTTGTCCTTCCTCACTTCCAGAAAACCATGTTGTAGATAATATTGATACAGTCACATCATCTACAAGCTCATAGGATTTCACAGGAGCTTGTAGATGATGTGACTATCAATATTATCTGCAACATGGTTTTTTGGAATCAAGGAAAAAATTAAAAGCTCATAGAAAAGGTTTCATAGACAACGAAAAAGAAACTGAAGATTCAGAGTCATATTCTGCAGGAAATTATAAAATACTAAATTTCTTTTGCATTTTTCTGCAATTTTTTTTTCAAAAGAAATTTTGTATTTTTTTCAAAAATACAAAATTTCTTTTGTATTTTTGAATGTAGTAATCATAGAACAACTATAGCTTTGGATCCGCATAAAATTAAATGTTTAAATTTTAAGTAGTTGTTTATTATACTTTAAAGTAGTGCCTGAACTAAGATCTTCAACAGAATAATTTTTTTTATTGAAAAATTTGTATTTCCCCATCAATTTTTAGTCAAATATTTGGAATATTCACTTATATAGCAGCCATTTTGAAAGTACATAAACATATAAAATAATCCTAGTTCCGGCACTTTATCAATATGTTTTCTCTATAGTGTAAAAGTTTTAACTTGATTGCATAAGTATTTTTTAAGCAACAGTTGTTTTACATAACTCACTTTTTATGTATTTTTATGCTGACTCTGCATTTAAAAATAGCTTTTTTTATTTTTTGAAGAAATTTTTTTTTTACAGTTATATTTTTGTTCATATTTTAATTAAAAAAAAATTAAAATCAAGAGTATTAAAGATTTTAGTTTTTTTACCATGGATCCACCTTAAAGTATTACAATAAACATAAAATAAATGAATTTTAAATGTAAAAATAAACTGCGATGTATGTTTTATTTTTTTTACAAAAATATTTCAAATGTCCTAATCTGTGTCTTGGTAAAAGAATTGCCTATGTCAATATTATTGGTTTTTCAGTGGAAGGAATTTTGTGGTTTTCAATTTTTATAGTATAAATAAATGACATATATGTTTTTCTTTTAAAAAATTTATTGTTATAAAACAAATAGAATATAAACTACATATGTCTACTTAGGTCATTGTTGAACTAACTTTTTGAAAATCAGGACCACTTATCTTTACTTAAGTAATTATCATGCGCACATATTTATAGTTTCAAAAAGTGACATATGCACTTCTTGATCAAGAAATTATGGTTTCCATTAGTGTGATTAGCATAAGGAGTTCTTCATTTAAGAGAGCATTTTTTTAAATGGAAAATTGTCAAAATCTTCAATTCAATTCATTCCAAAAAGTATGACAGGTACTTTCTTTACCAAGCCATAAATAAAGCCATTTTTATGTCAGTTTTATGTTTTTTTTATAAAGAATTGTTTTAAAGACCGAAAAAAAAAAAAAAAAAAAAAAAAATTTAAAAGTTTTTTACAATTTGATAGACTGCCTGCCCGAACCAAACTCTGAGTTGATGTAGTGGCACTTCCTTGTAGAAACAGGCTATAAGATAGTTGATGTAGCAATACTTTGTTCATGTTTTATAGTTAAATAATAAAAGTAAAAATAATAAGAATGTTTTATTTAAAAATAAATAAAATTAAAATATTCAATATATTTTTTAAAACATTCTAGTCTTTTAATTTGTGTTTGTGTGGTTTTTAAAAAACAAATTTTATGTTTTTCATATATATAAAACAATTTTTATGTTTTTCAGTATACTGGCTATACGTCATGCCCACTTGTTACTTCTTCAAAAACTTGTATACTTGCAGAGTTTGATTACAGTGGTTTGCCTCGTGAAACATTTCCATTTGATCAATCAAAGGTAATTTATCATTTTTTTTTAAATTAAAATTTAAGGACGATATTTAAAAAACCCAATTTTGATTTTCATAGTTATCATTATTGATGACATTTGCAACTCATCAATAATTGAGAGATAATCAAGAACTGTAAATAAATGCTAATTATTTATAGCATTTTATAACATATTTTATAATATAATTTAATGATAGAATTTACTTGAAGTTTTAATCACTTTTCAGTATGTGGTTCATTTATAATTTTAAATTTTTTTATGCACTTATATTAAATTTTTTTATGCACTTATATTTTTGTTTATGCACTTATATGTTTACATGTTATGTTTATGCATTTATAAATCTTTATGATTTTTACTGATCATTTTCAATTTTATTCATCATCATTTTTTAGTGATTACTTAATATTATAAATTTCATTTCTCTACTGCAGCTTTGCCAATCTGTAACTTGCAAATTGCATGCAAGCAAGATGCAGTTCAAAACTTGCATCATTAAAATTTTTTTTGTAAAAATATTATTTGCAGATTTGCATTTTGTATTATCAGGCATTAAGTTAATGGTTATAAAATAAAAATGTGGTCACTATTTAAAATAAAATGATTTGTTTTGAAGCCTTTTGTTTTTTAATTTGCTTTTTCAAATTTCTTTTTTTTTTTTCTCCTTTTCTTTTCTAAACATTTGCTCCATTTTTTTTTAACCTTTTCAATGCTAAAACTAAAAATTTAGTTGGAAAGAATACTTATACAATTGGTAAGATATTTATAAGGTTGTCAACCTCTTCCATTTGAAACCAAATTTAAACCAAATTTTTCTCAAAAAACAAAATACATACAAAAATACTGTTAACAAAGTTGTGAGTCATTTATTTCAATTATTCCCTATTGCCAGCAATAAATTCTGCAGTTATCTTGACACTTTTTTTTATAATAATTGTAATTATACAACTTTAATTGAGGCTATGAGAACAAAAGTAGTGTAACCCACAAATTTACAAAATGTGTTTTTTTTGTAACTCTATAAAAAACTTAAAGAAATGTCTCAATAGATGGTTAAAACTGAAAAGCTTCTATGAATTCAAAAACAAGTGAGATAATTCAAATAAAAACTATGGAATTTTATTTTTACTATTTTCTCCATTGTTTTAATATGTTGCTCACACCACTTTTGTTTTCATGGCCTCAATTGTTAGTTGAAAGATTGCTGGAAGAGTATGTTGTCCAAGTATACGGATGTAGAAGAGTATACATATGGCTAATACATAAAACATTGTTTCAAAAATAGAGTGGAAAGGTTATTCTTAGGTTTTTAAGGACAAAGCAGATTTTTTCAGTGACATATCCAGAGGGGGGATGGGGGTATGCTTCCGCATATGTGATATAAAATACAAAAATAAATCAACATACCCCACCACCACTGCCACCTCCATCACCAACAGTTCCTGGATCCATCACTGGATATTTTAAGTATAAAGCAGATAAAAGTATATATATTTATTTTTAAATTAAAAAATAAGAGTTGTGATTGTCTGCTAAAACAGTAAAATATTGAATTGACTGAAGTAAGATTTTTTTTTTAAGAGTTTTTTTAAATTTTTTTCATTCTTTTTGTTAAAAAATCATGCTTATCATTGCATCAATCATCAAGAAGCCCATCTTGTGCATACCTTTCCAGAAGATGTGCAAAAACTTGGAATGGTTGGTTTAGATTATTGACTCATATTAGTTAAAGTTTCTAAGCATCATTAAGGAGTTTTTAACTAAAAGGAAGAGTAAAACAATCTTTTGGTGCATATAATTGTTGTGCATATGCAGCAAAATTAATTATTTTCCTTTAAAAAAGGTGTTTACCATTCAAAAATAAGAGCGATAAGTTTCAAAAAAAATTTTTTTTTAGATGTTACATGTCATTTAAACCAACTCAGTTGTAAATTACAAGGGTAAGAAAAAATTTATGCAGGGTTAATAGTTACTTTATTCAAAAAACAATTATTCCTTTTTGCCTAAAAAGATTTTAAAAAAGAAACTTTTATTTACTTTCAAAGGCAGTTGAAATTTTAATACAACCATTTTGAATATAAGAGATATTTTTTCTCTTGGTTTCAGGAATTCTAAAACAGTAAAGCAACTTTAGGCTTCCTAAGGTTAAACATAGAATGCTTAATGCTTTAGCGTTTTAATTTTAAAAAATTTAGTTAAAAAAAAATTATTAAATAGTTTATGTTAATTTTTAATTAAGTTTTACTTCATTGCTCTCAAACAGGAACCTTGATGAACCAAAGGTCGCTGTGCAGAGAAAAATGTTGAGCACTGTACTACCATATAGGCTGGATAATCATTACCATTTACTTTATTAAATTTTTTTATTATTATTATTTTTTTGTTAATTTACCTCCTCAAGATCGAGAAGGCCACTACAGTCGAGGAGGCTACTTATTTGTGGTGATGTGGTGGGGAACAAACTCAGAACATCTCACTTATCGAGCAAGCGCTTTACCACTGCACCACCACCACGTAACATATTGAATTATTAATATATCAAAATTATTATAAATTGAATGACCTAACTTGTTGAATTTAAATGAACCTTGCTTAGTTTTTACTTAGTAATAACCCATATTACTAATAGTATAATAAACTGTCTACCCCAACCAAACCCTTAGCTACACTCCCTTGTAGTAGTAGTAGTTAATATAACATATATGCTATTCATGTATATAAGTATGTAAACTATTTTTAATAAGACTTTTTTAAAACAGACCTATATTTAATTCTAATTCCATAACTAATCTTCAACAATATCATGTTCAGTTTATCTGGCATTCAAATATCAAGGTCTATTTTTCTCCCATTTGAGTGAGTATTTTATAGTATTATGAACGCATCCAAGTTTACTTGCTAAGCAGTGCATAGTTAATCTTAGCTTTTAATTAGTTGTTTTACGTTCTTTAAATCTAATTCCATTGGTTTGTGGTTTTGCTATGTTAATATGCTGTTATGAGAATGTTGAAATCAACATTCTCATAACATAATTTTGCTAATGTTTTAGACATCGAGCCCTGACCTATTTGATTGCATATTTTGTGAAGATTCAACTGCTGAGTTGCTTGACTGAAATTCATAAAGCAGGTAGTGTCATACATGGATTTTAATGCAGTCCATTTTTTGCAATATACAGAAGTTGCAATGCAAAAATTTATTTGACTTAATAGGCTGTTGCATGCCTTAAATAGAGCAAATAGAGGAGAATAAATAGAGGAGAACTCTCGATGTATCCAGAACTTTCTAAAAGTTTTTAGAAAAATTACCCATTACATTTTAGCCAAACCATAGTTCTTGAATTTTTGTATGCTGTTTATAAAACAATACTTCACCAAATGATTTTTAATGTTATCTTGTATTTTTAATGTTATCTTGTATTTTTGATGTTATCTTATATTTTTAATGTTATCTTGTATTATATATTTCAGGTAAAATAATATGTAATCTGTTTGCTCTGCTCGCTTTTAATTATCTTAGTTTTTTGTTAACAACATAAAAAGACTTCACGCTTGACTTTAAATGCAAGTAACACTATAGGGATGTTTCAAGGGGGTGTCATACCCCCAAAGAATGTCCTTCAACTTTTAGTCTGTTTTTTCAGAAATATAGTTGACTAGTTGACATTTGATATATTTCAGTCAGTATATTTTGGAGTTTTGAGGACCTTTTTTTAGACTTACCATCCTTGTATTGGATGTTTATCAATTTTGACAAACAAACTATTAAATGCTCTCATTCTGGTACACGCAGTTGGCCATGAGAAAAATGCAGTTTTTTAAAATATACGTTAATCCTATAAAAAAAAAGTGTTATACAACAAAAGGATAATTAGAATCTGTTAGAGCTTACTTAACTCAAGGAGAAAATACCCATTACCACCAGAAATACAGTTCAAAACCTTTGCATTACAATTATTTCAAAAAGTACAAACTTTCGCTCAAAGTACCAAATTTAGAATAATCATCTTTCAGCATCTCCAAGTTTTTCAGTATTTGAGTTGTTTTTTCTAATAATTTATTGATGTAAAATTTCACTACCTTTAATCTTCTTCTTTGAAAGGTAATGTTTCACTAGCAAGTTTTTGTAGTCATTGGGAAAGTTCTCCCTCCCCATCATGCACTTTCATATTTTTAATTATTGCAAACTTCTTTGCCCGTTGCCACATTTTATACATGCTTCCAGGGCTATCGAGTTGGCTGAAAAATAAAAAGCTCTGGCTCTGGCTCAGGCTCTGGCATTCCAAAATATCTGGCTTGGGCTCCAGCTATCTCATTCTTTCAGCTCAAGCTCTTGTTCCATCTTCTAGTTTACACAGTTTAGTTTAATAATTTTAATTACGCTTTATTTCATACTTCTTAACTTATAGGCTATATTGCAGGTTAATGTTTAACTACAATGCAATTAATTTTTTATTTATATCAATATTTTAACAAAGCCACACATTTAAAAAGTAATTATATAAGAATTCTGTGTGTATATATGTGTGTGTATATATATATATATATATATATATATATATATATATATATATATATATATATATATATATATATATATATATATATATATATATATATATATATATATATATATATATGTATATATTTATATGTATATGTATATATATATATATATATATATATATATATATATATATATATATATATATATATATATATATATATATATGTTTTATTCATCATTCTTCGTTTTTTCTTCTTCTCTTTTGAAAAAAAAAAATTATGAATAATATATAAATATATATTATACATAATATATAAATATATATTATACATAATATATATTTATATATTATGTATATGTACATATATATATATAAATATATATATATATATATATATATATATATATATATATATATTTATTTATTTATTTATTTATAAGCTGACTAGGAAATCAATTTTATAATTTTTTTAGCTAATACAGGACACTAAAAATAGCCACTTGTAAAAACTTAAAAAAACTAAGAATTTTAAAGTATAATTAAACTATTAACTTATAAATTTAATTCATAAAACTGGTAAATTAGCACTTGCTGCATTTTTACTGGCTTATGGGTATAAAAATGTATTTTCTTGGTAAATAAAATTTATTTAATAATTCTTACTTTGTTTTATTTTATGCTGCATTAATATTTTAGATATATAATTAATTGCTTAAAAGGCCTACTCATAACTATAACTAACTAATAATAAACAAGTATTTTTGATTAATCATATAGTATATAGCAAAGGTCCATATTTAGATTTTCTAATAAACTTAATCATTAGCTATATACACTTCGTTCTAGTAAAGTTGTATAAGGTCTAAAATATTAAAAACAATAAATGGATTTCAATAAAGGCCTGTTTTGATTTTAATTTAAGAATTAACATCATAAAGGTTGAAATTAAAATACAGTTCAATTTTAATAAGTAATTAACTACATAAGTAATACAAATTAGAGATGTACCAGGTACCCGGTAATTTGACTGTTTTACCAGGTACCCGGAATCGGCCATTTTGTTGATGTACCCAGCACCGGGTATCTTTACAAATATTTTTAACAGACATAACCTTTAAGTGCTGCAACTCATAAATAATAATAATAATAAAACAAATTTTGCTTTAGTGTTTATTTTGCTTTACTTTTTAAATTTTACTTATACGGTTAATATTATAGGGTTTTCAAAGTGGGGGGCACACTACCTCATTTCAAAAAAAATTCCTCAATTACTTATAAAAAACGTCAATTTCTTTGAAAAAAAAAGGTTCACACAAAAAAAAAGTAAAAGGAGGGGCATACCCCTTCAGAATTGAGTTGGAGAGCACTCCCTCTTGTTTCTGAAATGAGGTATCTACCACTGCGCCACGGCTGCCAAAAAGAAAGAAATATTGCGTAGTTTTAAAAAGTTTTAATCATTTTTTAGCTGTTTTTAAAAATCTAAATTTGGTTCAAATGAAGTTTTTAATCAATTATTGTCTCAGAAATTATTTGATAGTCTACTTTTTACTTATTTCAAACACTAATAACGTCTTTTATTTATCACAAACAAAAAATTATAAAAGAAATTAAAATGAAATATAGCAAAAAAGTGTTGTCTAAATTATTTTTGATTTGATTTGATTTTTTTTTATCCTTAATTTTTTTAATGGACTCGCTGTCGGGTACCTTGTTTCGGACCCAGTTTTTACCACCGGGTACTCGGAATTGGGGACTCTGCATTTTCTGGTTCTGGCACACCTCTAATACAAATATAAATTTTTGTAATTAATTAAATATATAAATGTACAGTGTAGTAGTTTTAATTAATTATATGAATACATATTAATAAAAACTCTAAAAATTAAAAACAATACCATTAATGGAAATCATAAAGTTTGATTCTGGTATCGTAGCAACGATGTTTTGTATTATGCTGTATTAATGTTATAAAATGTTATTTATATTAAATTTTTAAATTTAAATTTCAATATGTATCATACCATAGCTAACTACATAAGTACTAAGTAAATGTAATTTAATGTTATTAATTATATTAATTAATTTATTAAATTGTAAATAAAATAGTCTAATATTTTAAATATCTTTAATTTTTTTTTTCCTTTTTATAAACTAAATGATTTCCTGAGCTACATAGACATGAAATCTATGCTATCACATATCTTAAAAAAATAGTTTTTGAATACTGTAGTTTTAATCTGGTAGTTAAAGGCTACTATTATGTAGTCTTCAATATGTAGTCTTACCTAGTCTTCAATTAGTTAATGCTTAACTACTTTGTGTATTATTATGTGTATGTGTCTGTGCATGGAGTTTAGAGTTACATTACATCCAATTTTTTTATTTCTAAGAAGGATTACTATGCCAGTCCATGTCTATCAAATAATTGTATTCAAATGTTTTTCTTCTTCTAACTGGTCCATCCATTAAAAATAATTGAGAATATTCATTATGTTGCTTGCTAAATCCAGTAAGGACAGCCTTACATGCATTTTTTTTTATTGGTTTCTTATTATATTATATTTAGCAAATTAAGGCTTAACTTATTAGATTTTTTAATATAATAACAAAATAACACAGGATACTTATAAGTAATAAAAATAGATTCTTGCTGATAACTTTGACAATAATTTCAGATGAATTAGGAGGAGTCATTAAGATATCATTTTTTTTAAGAACATGTCAGCAAACATCAAATGAACATTTATGCTTAAAAGTGGTTAAAATTTATTTTAAGTTAATTCTGCTATAGAGTAACAACAATTAGAACAATTGAAATAATTAGAAATATACAAAATTATAGTTAGCCCTAGCTTTCTACGCTCCATTGTTGAAATAAAGGAGCTACCACTCCTGCTCCATATTCGAAATAAGGTGAGCTAAATACTCTACACCATAGTTGGAGCAGGGTGAGCTAAATTGTACAAATCCAACATAATGTTTATGGTTTATTGTGTCATCTATCATTATAGCTTGTTGTTTATCATACATATAAAATTGATTTATTATTCCCTATAAATTAACTAAATTAAATATAGAATAATTAAATGTCTTTTATTTGTTATACCTAATTAAAAAGTCTTTATGTATTATATAACAATATAAATAAGGTTGCAATATTGTACAAGTCAAATTTTGTTATATTAAGAACGTTTAATATTTCAGCAAAGATTATTATTAATGATTGAAAAATATTGAAAATTTTTTTTGTATTGTTCAATATAAGTATTTAAATTATTTTAATTTTTACAGGAAAGATATTCGATGTATATAATGAAAGCAAATGCAATGCCATTTTTATATTGGAACTCGTTAATTAAGTTAGTCTTATTATTTGTTAATTTTAGTTTTCTAGTCTATATTATGGTTTTATAATATTCTATAAATTTAAGAAATTTTAATAAAATAATATTTGTTAATTTTTTTAATATCTTAAAAATATTTTTAGAGGCACTTGGGGTGGACCTGAAAAAATAAGGAAACTTCTTCATTTTGGCTTTGTATAATTTTGAAAAATGTTTTGCTACATTTGTTACATACATATATTTCAACCATTTTTGTTACGACTTCGTTACATATATATTGCAACCATTTTTGTTACGACATTGTTACATTTTCAGGCATTTTTTTACTTTTCTAATGATATATTTATGACACATTTGTACCTTTTTGAAATTTATTTATATGTATAATTTTTATATTTGTTTTAATGTTTATAGTAATTTTTATTCTTTTTCACTTTTTTTTCACTTTTCAATTTTTTGTATTATGTAAAGTTTATTTAAACTTTTTTTTTTAATTTTACTTTTTTAGTATTTCTGTTGCATTATATTATATATGAACATTTAAAATGCTTTTTATATATATATATTGTAGTTAGTTTAATATTCTAGAAATTTATTATAATTTATATGCAACGAGTGTTAAAGATTTTTTGTAAAAAAGGTTGTCCATGTAGTATAGTCAATTACCCAACACACCTTTTATTACACCTTTTATTACACGTATTTTTTTTTTTAATTTGATAAATATTTCGTCATCTTCATAATAAATTATTTACTATACTATTTACTAATCTATTACACCTCCTTGATACAACTTAAAATAAAAAATAAATGAAATTTAAATATAAGTAATTACTATTATTATATATTTATTAAACACCTACTACAAGTAAGGTAAATTAAGAGTTTCATACATGATAAATTTAAAAAAATCTTCTTTTTTTAACGTGATCATCTAGAAATATTTTTTTCAAATGATGTAATGTAAATTTAATGATGTAAAAGGTTATGTCGCTTTTTAACAAAAGGAAAAGTTAAAAAAGTAAAAAAGAATTAAATAAAAATTAAAAATAAAATTTGAGATACGTCATAACCAAGTAACTATTTTTTAAAGATACTTTTAAAAGTTTGGATTGAAGTTGTAGTTAACTATTATTTTGGGAAGAATAAGTTCCACAAATGTGGCCCTCTGTAAGTTATTGATTGTTTTAGCAAAGTTTTTGGTACCTGATAATTAAACAACGAATAGTTTGCTTGATATTTATGATCTATAATAAACATAAGGTCTTCAAAATTATTAGGCAGCATATGGTACTTTAACCTAAACATGAATAAAAGAATATTATAAATATTTAATTGGTAAAAATTCAGCACTCCAAGCTTTCTAAGCAGTGGATTTGCACTGGTGTATATATTAGCATTTAATATAAGACGGCTTGCTTGTTTTTGTTTTTTTTAAATACACGTTAGTGTATCTTAGTTATTACGTTATTACGTTAGTGTATCTTAGTATCTGTTAGTTGACAAATAAATGCTTGCCCAAACAATGTTACATTAACTAATATAGCTATGAATAAATAAAAAGTAAATAGATTTTAAACAGTTTTTATCCAACATAATATGTTGGATAAAACTAGATATCTAGTTTTATACATTATCCAAATACTTTTTGAAATTTTATTTTCTATTAGATTAATATGCTCTTTCCAACTTATTTGCTCATCGATTAAAATGCCAAAGAATTTAACACAGAATGTCCGTTGCAACTTTTTAAGGACAACGTGTTAGATTTAAAAGGTTTAGAAAAGTGAGTAAATTTTATTTGGTAGGGTTCAGAGAGAGTTTGCTTTAAACCATTCGTTAAGACTATCAAGTTCATGATTCATAGTGGATTCATAGATTATCCTAATGTTAGAGTTAGAGTCTAAAAAACTTGAGTATCGTCAGCAAAAAGGTTGAAGTTTAGTAAACTAGATGATAAGTAAATATTTTTGATATAAATAATAAACAATAAAGGCCCTAGAATAGATCCATGTGGAACTCCGCAGGTAATGTTTTCTAATTTAATGTAGGTTTTGCCATAAATTTTAAGTTTGTACAGAAGAATATCATGGTCCACAGTACCAAAGGCCTTTGAAAGGTCAATCAACACTCATAGAGTATAACGGTTGTTTTCAAACCCATTTAACATTTCTTTAACTATTATTATGCTGATAATATGTTTCTGTGACCGTATTTATGGGGTATGCATCGACCAAAATCTGAAAGTCCTAAAATATCTTAGAAATTAAGGAAAAAATTTTTTTTTTAAAAGACGCAAATGTGGTACAAAATACAAAATTGTTTTTACAACATCCCCCCCAAACCAAAAATTCCTGTATCCGTCACTAATAAATTTTATTATTTCTCTGCGTATTTAAGGAAATAGGCCTAATAATGATTATTAATAAATAGTTATTATTATTCATTTTCAGAAATTATAGACCTTAAAATGAAACCGTTTCAGGAATTATATTCCTTTTTAGGTTTTAGGACAGGTTTAAAAATATTAGTGATCCGTGCACCAAGTATAATTAACAAACAATCCTAAAATTAACTTACTGATAAGTGTTGAACATCCCCACCATTCGAACCACTTTTGAGACCTGCTAGAGAAGGGCAACAAATCATTTTTCATTTTATTAGTAAAAATAAACAATGATTGGTTTCCAGCCTCAATCAGAGAGACACCAGTGTCCCAAGACATGTTTTCAGTTACAAAGTGTTGTAAACACACAGTTGGTATTAACTGTTATGATCAATACATAATATAAATATAAGTTATTACAATCTAATCATTTTTTTTTTTGTATGTGGTTTACATTTAAGTTATTGTTCTAAGTGCCGAAAACAAATTATTTTTAGCAAATTGTATGTTAGTCACCTATATTATGTGAGAAGTAACCTTTTTAATTTTTTAATTTTTTGCCAGAATTGTAATTATTAGCATCTGTAAAGGTAACCAATGCTGAAATTTAACTAAAACTTAATAAAAAAACCATATTGAAACTACCAGTGTGAACTGTGGGGTACCAGTGTGAACTGTGGGGTACCAGTGTGAACTGTGGGGTACCAGTGTGAACTGTGGGGTACTAGTGTGAACTGTGGGGTACCAGTGTCACTCAGTTGTTAAAGGGCTAACCCCCAAGTAGCAATATCTCAATTTTGACCGAAATTGGAGATAATGCTTTATTACATAGCACGGCAGTATTGTACTACTTAAAATATATTTGAAGTGATCAACTGACTTGTGTATGTGACGTTTATCAACATAAAATTTAACTGAAAAAAATACATCAAAAATTACGCGAAAATGTATATCGACGAAAAACCGAAATAGCATCAATTGTAAGGAATTAATAGAAATCAAAAAAAGTTTAAATTTTAATGAAGATCTTTTCAATAAAAAAATAATAACCGCCATTGATTGTCTGGCAAAAGATAATCTGACAAGCATCAAAATACAAAATAACTACAATAAACTTATAAAAATAAATAACAAACTCAGAGAGATTAACGATAAGTCTCCTCAATCTCCCTAAATTTGTTATATTAATGAAAGAGCAAATACGCAAAGTATTTCACAAAAAACAACGAACAATAATACCAAAACTTCTGAGTTTCAAAGATAAAACTAAAATTCTCAACAACCCAAATAAAAAGGTAAAAACATTTTCATATATGAAGATTACTGAATGGAAACAAATCTTATATGAAAGGTGTTAGGTGAAAAAATGAAAATAGAAAGGCCTCCAGGCAAATAGTACTTATAGTAGGGGAACCTGTTGTACCTAGGACAGTTTTTCAGATATATATTTTTTATTGCGATTTAACGCACAGCACGCAAATGATAATTGCATATTTTGAAAGATCAATTACTTGGGTACTCACCACCAAAATATCAGAAATGTATATTTCATACTTAATACTTAGATTTTAAAGTTTAAAAAAATGGTAATTAAGGCCAAGGTACAACATACTCTATGTACCTTGGCCAGTACTATGGTGTACCTTGGACACATTGAGAATTTGGAGTGAATTCAAGTAAGTTATTAACTTTTCTTAACCCAAATCGTTTTATTCGGTCTATTACATTATTTATCAAAACACCTTCGAAAATCTGAACAATATCAAAATAATATTCAACTTTTTTTTTGCTTTTTAAACAAAATCTTTAAACAAAAACATCAAACGTTTAATTACTATTTTGTTACATCACAAACTTTAAAATTAGTAGATTTGAACATATCACATTATATATATATATATATATATATATATATATATATATATATATATATATATATATATATATATATATATATATATATATATATATATATATATATATATATGTTTAATGAAACAATTCTATATTACAAAGCATAGACAGTTAAATATCTAAACAACTTTATAAATTATCATTTCTCTCTTAACATTTTATTCGGTGATTGGCTTTTATAAGAATACTATTAATATGAAGATATATTATTCATTTAGTAGAAATCCCAGTACTTTTGTATCTCTTGAATATAATAAATTTCTCTGTTCTTGTTAACTTTTTGCGGGGTTTGAATTTTTTCTATAATGTCACTTATTGGACACAGATTCAAATCGTCTTTTTCAGGCCATTTCCAGTTTTTAAGTGATTTTTGCATTGATTTTAGTAATATACCTTCTTTAGATATTGATTCTACCTTTCCGACAAAATAGGAACCTTCATATAAAAATATAACATAGTCTCCAATATTGTAATTTTCTCTATTAATATGTTCAACCTGTAGGTTCTCATCATCTTTGTTATTGTCAGAGGCACCTTCAAATGTGTCACTCGTTATATAGCTGTTAGAATCTTCACTAGGTTCTGGTTCAGGTAGAATTGTTCTTTTTCTCTTTTTTGAATTATTGAGTCTTTTTTTATCCATTAACCTATTTGAAACATTTTTTTTAGCTTTTATATTTTCAATTCCTTTCTTTTCTGGGGTATCGGTCAAAATTCTGGATCTTCCTTTTTGTCTTCCTTTTCGTGTTTCTTTACGAGGCTCGACTTTTGGGTAAGGGCGTATTATACCTGGCAATATAAAAGTTGGCAATTCTCTATGTATATTTTTGGAACCTGAAGCAGTCGGCTGACTAACAGACACCTGATCAATTTTGGTGGGTGATTTTCCAGTAAGTGGACGATCAGAATAGGATGCGGGCATAAAATCAGCATCTATGTAGATGTTTTCATTCAAAGGATGGAAACCAGTTGAACTAAAACCTTTACAAATATTGTTAGGTGTGAAGGCAAGAGGAAAAGCTTTTCCCACCAAGCCAGCAATATCATATATAGTTAATGGTTTTACCCCACGACCTGGAGACATTAGTAACTCATTAGCTGCTGTATTAAAATAAGTCTTGAAAGGCCCAAAAACTGTCTTGTCTAATGGTTGCATATGATTACTAGTATGTGGATGTAGAGTAATAAGCTTTACACCATTATCTTTGGCTTTTTATATTGCGGGTACTGAAATATGACTTTTATGATTGTCCATTATGAGAATGACAGGCTGTTCTATGGTAGGCTTTGCATATTTGATAAAATGCTGGAGGAATTTCACAAATATGGACTCGTTTGACCAACCGGATGGGTTGGTAACTCCAATACTGCCTTCAGGAGCACCAGTTATCATAAA